TGCTTAAGATTTATTGAATATTATTTGTTATGTGCCTGGGCCTCCAAAGAGAACATGTTAATAAGAAATAATTTTTCATCTCAATATATTTTTATTTTAATCAATTTTCTTTCACTCAACTTGTATATAACATTCATTGTTATAATTCTAGATTTTCTTAGATATAAGAAATTGGTATTTCTTAATCTTTGCCACTGGAAATACTCTATTTTCAAAGCTCAGTAAGACCTTCCAAAACAACCCACATTTCAAATGTTGGTTCCATCCTTGACATTATTTATTAATTTGTATATGATACTACTATAGTTGAGGGATTTTCAAACATTCTTCTGCTAACACGCATGACCAGATGCTCATGTGAGGGAGACTCTTCCATGTATAGTACCAGAGACATGAGCAGCTTATCAAGAATAGGCTGTGGCTTCAGATACTTCCCAGTGCAGTGTATGTAACTTCATACTAGTACAGGATTGACCTTGAATCCACTTCAATCTACTTTTGAAAAGTAAATCATTCACAGATTGTATTATTTTAATTATTGTATTATTTTAATCGTTATATTACTTGCTGAAAACCTCTTAACAAGTAGCAACATATGTAACATGACATCACTAATGGACTCTTAGAGTAGCATTATTCTATACTATTTCCTCATTTTATATAAATTGCCAAACTACTTGACACATTGTTGTTCACAACATTTTTTTATCCTTTAACATACATAGCATCTATCTTCCCTTTTGTTTCTAATATTGGAAATTTGTATCATTTCTTTTTTTTCTTGATCAGCCTGGCTAAGGGGTTTATTGATTTTATGATTTTTTTAAAGAAATGGTTTTTGGTTTCATTGATTTTTATCTATTATTTGTTTATTTTCTCTTTCATTGTTTTTCACTCTTTATGATTTCCTTCTTTCTACTCATGTTGAGTTTAATTTGTTATTTTTCTAGTTTCTTAAGGTTGAGACTTAAATAACTATTTTTAGGTCTTTCTTCATTCCTAGCATAAGCATTTTAATGCTATAAATGTCCCTCTAATCACTGCTTTATGAACACCCCACAAATTTTGATATGTGTGTTTTCATTATTATTTAGTGCAAATTAATTTCTAATTTTCCTTATGAGAAAATTAGACCCATGGGTTGGTTATTTAGAATGTTAATTGTCAAATATTCAGAGATTTCCAGATATTAATGTGCTCTTGATTTTTAGTTAAATTTCACTGTGGTAAGAGAATATAATTTCTATGATTGTAATCCTTTTAAATTTATTGAGATTAGTGTTCGAGTCCAGAATATGGTCTATCCTGGCGAATGTTCCATGTGCACTTGGAAAAAATTATTCCACTGCTGCTGGGTGGAGCATTTTATAAAATAGCAGTTAAGTCAATTTGGTTGATAGGGCTATTTCAAGTCATCTATACCCTTAACGATTTTCAGTCTACTTGTTCTATTTATTACAAAGAGAAAAGTGTTGAAATCCTCAAGTATAATTGTGGATTTGCCTATTTCTCCTTTTAATTAGTTAGAAGTTAGAAGTTACAGTTAGTTAATTAGAAGCTGTTAATATTAGTTTTTGCTTCATCTTAGTTTGAAGCTCTGCTTCTAGATATATAGACATGTAGAATTATTACATAATCTTAATCAATTTTGTTCTCTATGAGATGTATCTCTTTATCCCTATTCATATTCCTTATTGTGAAGTCTGTTTTGTGTGATATTAATATTACCATTCCAGGCTGGGAGTGGTGGCTCGTGCCTGTAATCCTAGCACTCTGGGAGGCCAAGGCAGGAGGATTGCTTAAGGTCAGGAGTTTGAGATCAGCCTGAGCAAGAGCAAGAGACCCAGTACCTATTATTACAAAAATAGAAAACTTGGCCAGGCATGACAGTGTGGGCCTTAGTCCCAGCTACTCAGGAGGCTGAAGCAGGAGGATCACTTGAGCCTAGGAATTTGAGGTTGCAGTGAGCTGTGATGATGCCACTGCACTCTAGCCTGGGTGACAGAGCAAGACTTTATCTCAAAAAAAAAAAAATATATATATATATATATGTGTGTGTGTGTGTGTGTGTTACCACTCCAGCTCTTTCTTATCAGACATATTGAGGTCTAATTTACATGCAATAAAAATTCATCAATTTTAAGTGTACACATTGACAAATTTTGAGAAATGTATGCAGTTGTATAACCACCATCACAATCATGATTTAAACCATTACCATCACTCCAAAAAGTTTCTGTCTACCACTTTGCAGTCAGTCTCCACCACCACCACCCCATGCCCCTTGCACCTTCTGTCTCTATAATTTTGACTTTTCCAGAATGACACATAAATGGAATCAAAACAATAAATAGCATTTTGAATTGGGCATCTTTCACTTAATCTAATGCATTTGAGATTAATCTGTGTTGTTAGTTTCTTATTGCTAAGAAGTATTCCTCTGCATGGACATACCACCTTTTGTTTATCCATTTACTAATAAAATAATATTTGAGTTTCCTCCAGCTTGGGGCCATTATGGAAAGCTGCCACAAAATTTGAGTATAAGTTTTTGAATGGAAATGTGTTTTTATTTCTCTTGGGTAAATACCTAAGTGTGGTATTGCTGGATCACATGGTAAGACTAGTATTTGAAACCAGACATTGGTGGTCTTGAGCTGTCTTTCTTTAGTCATTAAGCTTCTAATTAGTGCTAAGAATAAGTCCCAGCAGTTATGAAATCATGACCATACTGAACACTGTATCAGGTGAAAGAGACAAGTACACAACAAAATCTTGATATCTATAAGTAAACATATATGGCCTCAAGGCTGAATAGAGGCCACCTGTAGCCAGGAAAATATATCAGGAAAATTCACAAATGAAGTTCTGATCTTGATTCTACTGTGAGAATTTTTTTAACAATTAGGTTAAGGTAAATAACAACCTTTGAAAATGTCAACACGTGAAGCTACTAACCAAGTCCACATCCCTGTTTAGAAATTCATGCATACAATTCAAATTTACACTTGACATTCAAACACTGTATTTAACTGGCAGAAATTACTTTTAAAGGGTACAAAGGGTTTTCTTTATACACCCAAATGATTACTGTCTAATGTAATCTGGGACTCCATTAACGGCTTTGTTAATTATTTGTCCCTGCAGCAGACCTCAGTATCCGTTTAAGACCAAAGTGGCTAGAATTACCTGCCCACCCCGGTTTCCAATTGTAACTGAGACAAGTACAGGAGCCCTAAGGAGCTGAGGACGCACAGGTAACGGTCGCTGCTGGCCTGCAGAATCTGACATTTGAAATCGCCCTGCCCATCTGGGCCTCGCTGCCTTTGACAGGCGGGAGTGTCAGAGACAGAGTGGGGGAGAAGGGGCTGGGCTCTGCCAGGCAGCGCGCGACGACGCCCTTGCCTTGGCCTTCACCGAGCAGAGCCGGAGAAGCCCAGTCGCCCAGCCGGGCCCACGCCCCCGCCGGCAGGGTGCATCCCGCAGACGGCCGGCAGGTGTGTGCGGTGCGCGCGCACCCAGTGCGTGCCGGTGCGGGGCCAGCGGGCGGAGGAGCTGCTGGGCGCTCCGCGGAGGGTGCCTGGCTGGGTGGGTGTTGGCCTCCCTGCCTCCCCCACCTCCCTCTCCACTCCTTGAGCTGGCCGGGGATGGTCGAGCGAGGCGCCCCCTCGCCTTTAAGCTCGCGGCCCCAGGGGGCGGCGTGTGTGAGTAGCTGGGAGGGGGGCGCGAGGCGCTCCGCGGAGGGCTCGCCCGGGTTTGTCCGCCGCCGTCACCTGACTCGTCGGAGGAGCCACATCCGAGGTGGGGGCGGGGATGGGGACGCAACGCGGAGCGCTAGAGAGACGCGGCGGCGCTGGCAGAGGAGACGGCGGCGGGCGGCCACTGGCTTCTGGGCTACGGGCGGCGAGCGCCGGGACCGCGCAGCTGAGGGCGGGGGCGCGACCAGGGCTGGAGGCATCGCTCCCCGGGGCACCGGGTCTGTGTGCGGTCGCACACACCCACCCAGCGCGGCTTCTCTGGGCGGCCCAGGCTCCGCTCATCCTGCGGCGGGCGGCGCCGCTCCAGGGGCGGGGTGAGTACCCGCGGCCCGACTCGGCCCCCTCCCCCGCGCCTGGGCTGCGCGGGGATCGGGAGAGGATAATCCTCGGGCGCGGAGAAAGGCGGTGGCCGGGTGACAGCTCCGCGGCGCGCTCGCGGGCGGGTAGGGGGCTGGCCTGAGCTGTCAGTCCGGCCCTGCTCCAAAGCCAGAAAGGGTGAGGTGCTCAGAGACTCCGGCGCCTCCGCAGAGCCCTGGGGCGGCCCCTGCGGCTGGGGATTTGGAGACTGGGGCGGCGGGGGAAAGGGGCCCGGGCAATGGGCCTCGGCGAGGCTTTGGAGGCGGTGGCGGGGAAGGAAGGGGAGGCGAGGGCATAACATGGCGCAACGCTAGGATAATCTCCACCGTGACTGAGGGAGGACGAGCCCATTGCTGCAGCAGCGCGAAGAGGAGGAGGGAAGTGGCCAGGGCTTGGGTATCCGATTCATTCTCCGAAGCCTGCGGGCTGCTAGGAGGAAACGCTGCGGAGGTGGGAGGTGGGCACCCGGTGGGCGCGGCGCCCAGGGAATAAGCCCCAGGCACGCAGTGGCTAGCCCAGCACCCGGGGATGAGGTTGCAGGGAAAGTGCTGATTGACAGGGGGGCTCCCAAGGGGTGAGGCGGGCCTTATCGGACTTGTGCGGGGGAACGGGGACAGTGTCACGATGCTGGGACTGGAGCCCGCGCTGGGGTTTCCTGACGGCCCTACTCATGGCCAAGACTCCCTGGACCTCGTCGCACGCGCAGGGCTTGGCGCGTTGCTGGCTCTGAGAGGTGGTGCCAGGGCGGGGTGGAGGGGGAGAGAGCCGCCGTGCGGGCGGAGGAGGCAAAGCCTGGGTGTTCGGAGGGTAGGGTCTGCGGATTAAAGTGGGACCGTCTCCCCTTCTTTCTTGCAGAAGAGGAGGTGGTAGACGCAGCTGGAGAAGATGTCGGGCCAAACGCTCACGGATCGGATCGCCGCCGCTCAGTACAGTGTAACAGGCTCTGCTGTAGCGAGAGCAGTCTGCAAAGCCACCACTCATGAAGTGATGGGCCCCAAGAAAAAGCACCTGGACTGTAAGCATCTCTTTATATAAGTGGGACATGCGCACGGCAGAGGCGCCCGGGATGCCGGCAGTGCGGCCTGGGCTTGCGGTCGATAATGCTGCGGCCTTTGGAACTCCCAGCCGGGTTGCCTCTGAGATTGAAATCTACAACTGTGGAGGTGTTGCCTTCGGTTAGCCCTGAAACCTTGTATTTTGAGTCATTTTTTCCTCCTGTTGACTTCCAAGGTCTTGGTGGTGGGGAAAAAAAATATACATATATATGCAGTACCCTTGAAATTGTACACCCTGGATGAGGCACTTTTCACCTCTTTTTTTTTTCTTTCTTTCTCCATCACCCTCCCTCCTCCAGGTTAGAGGAAATCAGGGATTGCACAGTCAAAACCAAAAATAAAAGATAGATTCATGGAAGGTCAAACTTATCACCCTAGTTCTTTCCTAAATATGTTTCAGACAATTCTAAAATGGTATCTTTTTCAGTGTTGCTGCTGAGGTTCTGTGTGTGAGTGTGGGTGTGTGTCATGTGTCACCACACCAAAGTGAAATAAATTCAAGGTATTGAATAAAGAAATTGCACTTCACAGATAATGGCGATTTCATTTTACACATCCTGGCACACTTCTTTGTCCTGTTCTCAGAAAATGCTGGATGAGATGACTATGCTGTGGTCACAAAATGGATGTACTTTCCCGGCTTTTGAGATGGTGCTATTTTAGATGAGAACATTTACTTCATAATTTTTTTCATAATTGGTTATTCGATGGAAAAAGACTTTATTCTAGTCTGGAATCTATATGTTTCTGAAATATTTCATTTGATTAACAGTACATTTTTGTTATTGAAGGGTAAACATATTTAGAAAAAAACTTTCACCTGCTTTGGGTAGTGAATCCCCTCATAAGTAAGGCCACCTCAGAATATATTCTGCAGTTGGTTTTCAGTCTTTTTGGCCTGCTTAGAATCTTCTGTCTTGTTATGATATTCGTTGGTAAAGATCAGTATTGGCATGAGAGATGCAGGTATAGCCATAACCGTTTCCCCATCTGGCTTCCTTTGCCTGGTTTCTGGTTTTCTTTTGCCTGAATCCTTCCCCCACTGTCTCTCTTGTGCAGCTGAGAAAATGGCATCAGTGTTAGAGCTGACTCTAGCCCTATTATCTGTATATGCAAAGCTTGGTGAAGCTTACAGCTGGACATTGTAAGAGTTGTCCAGCCTTGTGAACATGTTGTCTTATAGAATTTAACAATTTTCTTTCGAGAAGTTTGTCCGAGGGGAAAACACCATTATGCCTTTCCTAAGGGAATGTTTAACAAAATTTATTGATTACAGTATCACATGTTCTATATGCATTACAGAATGAGAGAGGCCACCAGGGCCAGGACACCTAACAGAAGTGGAAATTATAAATTCACGACCAGCTCATTTTGCTGCAGCACGCTGAATCAGTTAGCCATTTTTCCATCAGTTTCCCCACCTCTGGAAGGATGACTCATGTCTTAAAGGTGTATGTCAGTCTAGAAAGTCCTCATAATAAAAAAGGTATAGGTTATGGATTTGCTATATGCTGATCTGTTATGAAAATGATCAATCAGTATATTGATATATTTCAGAGAACATTCACAGATTATATTATTTCATTAAAACATCACTCAGATAAAGACTGACTTCTGCAGATCTAAATATTTCATCACCTTAGTCTTTTAGATCTGGAAAAGTCTTTTAAAAAATTTGAAGGTGGGAGGTTTTTCAGTATCTCCAACATATGTTAGCAGTTGAGTGATTTTGAAGATGTGGAACATAGCGGGAGGATTCCATGTTAAAAGAAAGCAGCCGAAATGGGAACTGGTGTTGAATTATTAATATGAATAATAGTCATAAGGGCTAAATATTTATTGAGCAGTTACTGTATGCCAGGCACTGAACTGTATATTATTTATCCATCACTGCTTAATGAGTTTAGGGATGGTAATTAACTTTCATACCTTCTAACCACTGAACTTCCATCTGTAGTTTATTTAGTAATAGTCTCTATTGAGAAGGAAGCAAAGGAACCATATTAGCCTAAATGGTCTAATCTCCAGAACACCCACTCTCCTTTCATGGTTTTGTATAAAATAGAGCATCAGAACCCACATACATACTATAATCTTTATGATGTGCATGAAAGAAATTTAATTCTGTCACTTAAAAAAATAACCAAAACCCAAGCACTGAGAAGTATTGATTTTTCTTTTGAGTGTTTTACTTTTCCAATAAGTCATAAAATAACTTATCTTCCTCTTAAAACCAAACTTTGGGTAGAATTTGGAAAGATAGGTATCACACTACTAATATGTCCTATTCTAAGAAAAGATGATACGGAAAACCTGAATATATGTGTTATATTTATATGCATTGTAAGAAGACATCTTTGCTCAGAATTCTTTGAGAAGTTCATTTAAAAAGCAGTAGACTATTTCTTCAGTAATTTATTCACAGGTTTTCATTAGCACACCAGTTATAAAAGCGAATTATACTTGTTATTAAAACATGCACACACATAACTAAGTTTCTTTATAGGCACTGAAGCATTCTTAAATAGGTGGTGTTTTGGTTTTAAGAATATCAAATGCTGGTTGGGAGGAAAAGAGCACAGAACGTAGAGTTTGGGGGTTAGAAACAAAAAAAGTTAATTTTTTATTAGTTTGATTTGTATATAACTTTTTAGTTTGGGGTTTTGATTGGAAGATTATAAGAATAGAATTTACGGTTCTGTGAATTTTTTAGGCTATTGGATTAATGTGGTAGAGAATCTTTATGAAATATGTATTTAATATAATTTAAAGTACTAGTTTAAAAGATAATTTTTCTATTTGGATTGACAGGCCAAGAAAATTGTTGTTAATTATGGTGATTTATACAATGGTACTTAAGGGGGTATGATTTATAGTATACATTTGAAGAAATGATTTGTTAACATCTAGAAGCAGAATTACATATGGTGAAAAGGTGGAAATAAATAAACTCTATACTTGTATTCCCAAACTTTTTTTTTCTTTTTTTCAATAACAGCATGTTTCTTGAAGGAAAAACCTATTCAGAAAACCATCACCATAGTCAGCAGTTATATATTAAATTTAAAGGACAAGGGTAAACCTTAATTATTTAAATAAGGATTATATAATTTATGATACTTTTGGATTATGTAAAACTTTCCTTCCATATACCCCACCCTACTCTAATAATGTTGCCTTTTGCACCTGAAAATTAAACACCTAACTGACATTAGTTTGACATGAATTTTTCTGGGTCCATCTGTACATCCTTGCCTCCTTTCCCCTATAACTTCTTGTGCCTGTTCGATAGCATATAAAGCATCCACAGGTTTTCCCTTCTTGGTCATAGCTGTTTTACACTTCGGTGGGTTTTCCTTTTCTGTTTTGTAGTTGATGGCCTAAAGGACATCCCAAGTCAAGTAAAGTAAAAAGATCCAGTAGTGTTCCCATTACCTACCCAATACTGTGTCAAGGTTAAACCAGAAAATAGAGTTGGCCCAAAGTAACACCTGCAAGGGGAAATTTGGAAAGTTTTACAGCCCTGGTATAAGATTCATTTCAGTTACTAGTGCTTATGAATGATTTCTATATATGCTATTATTAAAGTACCCTATTTAAGATAATCAAAATTCAAACTTAGACATTACTATTAACATCAAAACAAACCTTAGAAAAAGCCAATTTGGTTATCAGTAATCCCATTTTCCCCCATATTAAACTTCCTGGGGGTTTTTAATAATGTGCTTATCCCACATAAAAAGCAAGTGCTTCAAGTTCTAAATCTCACATTTGAGAGAGATTAGAATTTTAGTCATGATTCTGTTCCTCCCAAATTAAGAAAAAATAAGATTGTATTTTTTTATAAGACTATCTGGTAAAGGTAGGAGATATGGACTGTGTTTGATTCAAGATAAATATTGGCAAATTACCGTAAAATTCCTGCTGCTTTAATTTTAGTCATAAAATATAAACAAAAAAGTAAGAAATTTTGTGAATAAAAATTTAAACCTAAAAGTTAGTTTGTTGTATATACATTTACCCAGTACATATAAAATATATTTTGATTTATTGAAATGCTATTTCCACAATAATTCAGTGGATACCATATATTTATATTTGTGATAATAGATCTTTCTATAGTACTGAAAGATCCAAAAAGCAAGCAAAGCTTATTGAATAAAATTAAGTAGAACAATTTGTAAAAAATTACTGAATACTAGGGTAACTTTCAATATGAGAAGTATACTAACTTGCTGTAAATATATTTTACTTTGATTCCAATTATTCTCATTTAACTATTTGTTTTTGTCTAAACACGCTGTCTCATTTTTCTATACCAGGGCATACTCTGTTTCTTTCTCTTAATTTCACCAGAAGATCCAGCCCAAGTGTGGAGATAGATGGTTTAGAACAGACTAACTTATTTTTTAGGCAGTCAAGAAGAGAGAGGGGGAAATACACTTCTGAAAAGCATTTAATCTGATTATCACTCATACCATAAATCTGTCAGGGGCTCAGTCCGTGTGGCCCTGTGACTACAAAGTCCTAGAAGGGAGAACTTCTGCCAACCCTGAACCTCACAAGATCTCTTTTCTCCCTTCTAGGACGCTGGCAAAGAGCCTTAGCTGATGGGAGGGAGCACACTTTAGAAATGTCTTAAAAATAATTAAACAGGAGTTGTATCAGCTAGTGGAACAATAAGAATTTTTTCTGGATCTTTTTGTTTTCTCATTTTCAGGGGAATTTTTTAATGGTATAATGTTAAATATATTTGGGTCACTTTAGATCTTTTTTTTCCAGTTAATGTGGTTAGCAGATCATTTCTTAGAACAAGTATAAAATTGGTAACTCAAATTGATTTCTAAAAAGTTGCTTTAGTGATTTAAAAAATGTTCATATGGAAAAATATATAAATTATATAGTCAGTAGGAAAATTCATATCGTGATTGCAATATTAGCTTGCAGCATTTTAGATTGG